ATAGGCATTTCTGATTGGAGACAAATTGAAAGTGGTGTTCCCCAGGGATTGGTATTGGGGCCCTTGCTTTTTCTGATTTATATAAACGATTTGGAAATGGGTTTTGAGAGGGCGGAATCTCTAAATTTCCAGACGATACTAAACTCGGGAGAATAGTGAATTTTGAGGATGACACTGAGCAATTTCAGAAGGACATTGACAAGTTGGTCAAATGGGCAACCATCTGGCAAATGAATTTCAATGCAGAGAAATGTGTGATAACACATTTTGGTAGCAGATACACATAGAGATATATAGGCTCAATGGTACAACTTTGAGGGGAGTACAGATGAAGAAGAACCTTGGGGTTCATGTGCACATCCTCTGAGGGTGGCCAGGCAATTGTTAAGAAGCTTATAGGATCCTGGGGTTTGTAAAAAGAGGCACCGAGTATAAAAGCAAGGAAATTATACTATACCTCTACAAATCATTGGTCAGACAACATTTGGAATATTGAGTTCAGTTCTGGGCACCTTATTCAAGGATAAAGCCCTGGAGACAGTCATGCTTCCTGCCATAGAAACACTTAACTGATCCATTTAATATGGAATACTGTATAACTATTGCTCTTCCATTCTTCTTTCTACACCACCACACATCCTCAGTGCTGTGAACCCGTCTCTGGTTATAGTCCCCTGTGGTAACACTATCTTCACTACTTTCCAAAATGGAATACTAACGGCAAGCATGATAAACTCAGGAGACTCCTGAACTCCTTGCCAGGTCTTGTTGGACTGCCTGATAGTCACCCATTCTCCTGTCCAGGAATCTACAGCACAAAATACATTTAAAAACAAGTGAATAATTTTTAATCTGATCAAGGTCAGAAATAGGGTTTCTGAGCATGGTAGAATATCTGGGCTACTATACGGAGAGGTTTGAACATCAAATGAAGCCTATATCAAAAATTTACCAGAATGATACTAGGAATGAGGGATTTTAGATACAAGGAAGGCTTAGAGAAATTGGACTTATTTTCTTTGGAGCAGAAAAGATTAAGTAGTGACCTTATTGATGTGTTCAAAATTATGAATAATTCTAACAGGGTAAAGAAAGATGCTCTGTTTCCACTAGTTCATATGTCAGTAACTAGGGGTCACAATTTCAAGTTTGCCAGCAAGTGTGCTCGGAGTGAGCTGAGGAGAAACTTCTTTACTCAGAGAATTGTTAGGATTTGGAATGCGTTGTCTAGGAGGGTGATGGAGGCAGATCTCATACGAGGTTTCAAAAGAGAGCTGGATATATATTTGAAAATGATAAATTTAGAGGTCTGCAAATGTAGCACTAGAGAATGGGACTGGTTGAGCAGCTCTTTCAGGAGTTGAGACAGACACGATGGGTCAAATGGCCTGCTTCTGTACTGTAAATTCTGTGATTAATTTCCTTCAATTCATCAATCTCCCTAGTCAAATTCTGGAAGATTTCTTGTATCTTTCTCAGTGAAAACAGACAAAAAGTAATTGTTTAGCTTCTCTGACAGCTCTCTACTCCCCAATTTAAATGATCTTGACTTTCCTCTTAATGGACCGACACTTGTTTTAGCCAAATGTTTCATCTTTATTTATCTGAAGAAGCTTTCATAAAGCATTTTTATGTTTTCCCTCTCCTTATCAGCTGTTGGGCTTCCTTTGCTGTATTCCAAAAACCTCCCAATCCTCAGATTTAATACTATTTCTGGTCATTTTGTAAGCCGTTTCTTTTAAATTTACAACATACTTAACTTCATTTGTTGACCATACTTGACTGACCTCTTTAACCTCTTGCACCTTGAAAAAATGTGTTGCTGCTGTAAACCATGTAATAGTTCTTCAAAGACTGTCCACTGCCTGAGTACAATCATGCCTTTTAACATATTTTCCCAATCCAGCTGAAGCTACGTGTGTGTTATGTTTTCAGAATATGCCTTAATAAAATTTAACACCCTTATTTCAGATTGAACTACTTCACTTTCAATCAGAATTTTTACATTATATCATACTGTGGTCATTTATCCCTAAAGGTCCTTTCACAGCTAGATTGTTAATTAGCCCTTTTTGTCACACGTTATTACATCCAAAATAGCTATTCTCTAGCCAGCTCTTCAACATGCTACTTGAGAAAACCATCCCTAAGACACTCCAGAAACCCATCCTCCACAGCTTTGGTGCTCATCTGTTTTACCTCGTTCATATACAGATCGAAGTCACCCATGATAATTGTGTTGCAAAAGTTACAAGTTTCTCTCATCTCTTTAATAATACAATGTCCCACACAACACTATTTGGTGGACTATAAATAACTCCAACCAATATCTGTTGCCCCTTGCTGTTTTTTTGTTTTACCCAGATTCCATTCATTTTTCTTCCATTCTGAGATCCTCCAATACTAATGTACTGATCCCATCTTACATTATCAGCACAACTCCACTACCTTTCCCCTTGTCTTTTCTAAATGTCAAATATTCTCGAATATTCAGTTCCTAATCCTGGTCACCATGCAGCCCACATTTCTGAAATAGTAACTATATGATAACCATTTATCTTTATTTGTGTCTTTAGAACATGTATCTTGTTGCAAATGCTGCGTGCATCCCAATAGCATGCCCTTAACTTTGACTTTCTGACATAATTTCGCATTCGAGACACACTCAATGCTCAGCTTCATTTCTACAGTCTTCTAATCTCCCTAGCATCTTTCAACTTCCTGTTACCAACTTTGCTTTCCTTCCAATTTTGGGTTACCCCTCAAATTCCCATACCTCTGACAACCTAGTCTAAACAAACTCCAACAGCACGAGCAAATTTCCTTGTGAGAATATCAGTCCCAGCCTGTTAAGATGTAACCCATGAAGCTTGTACAGATCCCATCAAGTCCACAAGTGGTTCTAATGTCTCAGAATTCTGATGTCCTTCCTCCTACACCAGTTCCCAAGCAACATGTTCAATCAATTGATCCTCTTGTTCTTATGCTCACTAGCACACAGCAAGGGAGTAATCCTGAGATTACTATTCTTGCTAACTCCCTGAATTCTACTCTCAAGACCTCTTTTTTATTTCTGTCTATGTCGCTGGTACAAATGTGGACCACGACTATTGGCTGATCCTCCTCCCCTGGAAGGATGTCATAGAGTTACAGAGTCATACAATACGGAAACAGACCCTTCTGTCCAATTCACCCATGCCGACCAGGTTTCCCAAACTGAACTAATCCCATTTGCCTGTGTTTGGCCCATATCCCTCTAAAACTTTCCTATTCATGCACTTGTCTACATGTCTTTTAAACACTGTAACTGTACCAGCATCTACCACTTACTCTGACATTTCATTCTACACAGAAACCACTCTCTGCGTGAAAATGTTGCCTCTCGGAACCCTTTTAAATCTTTTCCCCCTCACCTTAAAACTATGATCTCTAGTTTTGAATTCCCCTACTCTAGGGAAAAGATCTTTGCTGTTCACCTTATCTATGCCCCTCATGATTTTATAAACCTCTATAAGATCACCCCTCAATTTCCTAAGCTCCAGGAAAAATGGTCCCAGCCTCTCCTTATAATTCAAACCCTCTAGTCCCGGTAACATCATTGTAAATCTTTTCTGCATCCTTTCCAATTTAATTATACCCTCCCTATAGCACGGCAACCAGAATTGTACGCAGTACTTCAAAAGTGTCCTCACCAATGTCCTGTACAGTTGCAATATGTTGTCCCAACTCCTACATGCAATGCACTGACCAATAAGGACAAGTGTGCCAAATACCTTTTTCACCATCCTGTCCAACTGTGATGCCACTTTCAAGAAACTATGTACCTGAAGCCCTAGGTCTTTCTGTTCGACAACACTCCTCAGGGCCCTAAAATTAACTGTGTAAGTCTTGCTCTTGCAACATTTCACATTTATCTAAATTAAACTCCATCTGCCACTCCTCAGTCCACTGGCCCAGCTGATCACCTGCAGCCACTCTGTGTTATCCTTAACCCTGGCACCAGGGAGGGGCGACATTCCAAGGTAGACAAACAGGAGGCTGGAAGAACACGGTAAGCCAGGTAGCATCTGGAGGAAAGGAGAAGTCAACGTTTTAGGGATTACCCTTCTTCAGGACTGGACGTGGGGATAGGGGGAGTTGCAGATAAAGGTGGGGATAGTGGAATGGCTGTGATAGGTGGACACTGGTAGTAGGTATGACCTGATTGATCGAAGGGATGGATGAATCCAGTTGTTGGCTGGAAGGGAGGGTCAGAAAGTGGAATGGAAGGGAGGAGGTGGGGCTGGAAAGGAAGCCAGGGGATGGGTGGGAAGGTTATTTGAAATTGGAGAACTCAGTGGATGCCCAGGCGGAAGATAAGGTGTTGCTCTTCAAATTTGCGTTCTGAGTCACTGCGACACTAGAGGAGGCCGAAGACAGACATGTCAGAGGGGGAGTGGGGTGGGGTGTTCAAAAGGGTGGTGACCGGGAGGTTAGGCTGAGTCATGTGTCCTGCCACCAAAACACTTTTCTGATTCCCTGACAATGGATTACCCTATTACTATTACACTTTCTTTCATGTTCTTCCCCACCACACATCCTTGGTGCCATGAACTTGTCTCTGGCTGCAATCCCCAGAGGGATTCATTAGTTTTAAAAATGGAATATGGATGGCAAGCATGATAGATCCAAGGGTTCCTACACTCCCTGCCTGTTTTCTTACACTGCATGATAGTCATGCATTCTCCTGTCCAGAAATTTCCACCACAAAAGACAGCTAAAGGCAAATGAATAATGTTTAATCTGATCAGGGTCAGAAATAGGGTTTCTCAGCATGGTGAAATATCTGGGCCATCATATATGGGGAGGTTCAGACAACAGTTGAAGCTTATATCATAGTAGGAAAAGGTGGGCATGGAATCATAAATGCTGGCAGTTGTAAATAAGCAAACTGTATGTTAAATCTCTATACTAATCTCTACTGACCTGTTATTTATATTTAGTAGAGAAAGATTACTTACCGTACATTGCAAATCCATGGAATGGAATTACACCTGTGCAGAACAAGTATATCAGTTAAATATGACAAACAATGGATTTTTGTTTCACAATTTGTTTTAGTTATCACTTTACTTATTGAACATATTAACTGATTATATAGGTATTGTGACTTATTTTCAGTTGAGATATGTTTATAATAAATAATTAGCAAAGAATTGACATCCATTCAAAAATGTGAAAGATTACTTCAGTCTGCCATAATTATTGAAATCAATGATCAATGGTCAGCAGTTTAAATGCTGAACTCCTCAACAGCAATATCCACAGAAAACAACACACATGACAAAAAAGAGGCTGCAAATGCATATACATCTACAAAAATATTACATCTACAATTAGAAGGAACCCTTCTATCACACTTACCATTTGGAGGGTATACAACAGTATAATCTTCTAATGCAAACTTCCCTGTCAAAATACACGAGTGCAAGAATGTGAATAGAGGATATGCTTCTATGGGACATCATAGTTTTAAAAAAAACTTACTGTCCTTAGTCAGTCACAAACAAAAACCATTTTAATCATTCAGAAATGTTATGATCATACTGAAGACAGAGTATCATATGCAGGTTTCACTATTTGATTTTAATACCTGAGACTTTCATGGACTATAATGATTTAAAAAGGGACATGACTGACCTAAAATGGCTGCTGTGATCACATGACAAATCCACAGACTCCCACATAGAACATATTAAAGCAACAGAATTTGAACTGCCAATTTAATCAAGAGGCTTTGAAATTCTGAGGGGTCAAAAAATTTGCATCTCTTGTTTTACTCACACTGACATGATAATTTCACATATTGGATATAAAAGATTACCCGCAGTGCATTTAATTTGAAAGAAAATGTAGCTAGACTTGGAACTTACAAACAAGCCACACTTCAGTGGCTAGTTTTGAGCAACACAGAGAGACAAAACAACGCAGACGGATAACAGAAAAGATACTGAAAATTTTTCTCATCTCTTCCTCTCTATTTCTCAGAAAAGCCATTGTTCACCAAGAAGGTGCAGGGCTGGATGAACACAGCAGGCCAAGCAGCATCATAGGAGCAGAGAGGCTGACGTTTCGGGCCTAGACCCTTCATCAGAAAAGGGGGAGAGGAAGGGGGTTTTGAAATAAATAGGGAGAGAGTGGGAGGCGGATAGA